GTGACAATGGAGCAGAGATTAGTGTGATGCAGCTACAAGCCAAGGGACACCAAGGATTGATGGGAGCCATCAGATGCTAGGAGAGAGGCGTGAAACAGATTCTCTCGCAGAAGGAACAACCCAATCGACACTTTGATTTTGGACTTCCGTCCTCCTGAACTGTGAGACAATACATTTCTGTTGTTCTAAGCCACTCAGTCTGTGGTCATTTGTTATGGCCATCCTAGGAAATACTAATATTCTAAGGAGGGGGGCTAGCAAGTGCAAAGGCCCTGAGGTGGGAGCATCTCTGGCATATTTGAGGAAAAACCAGTCGGCCAGTGTGGCAGAAGCAGAGTGAATGGGGAGAATGAATGGTGAAAGCTGACATCAGAGATGTCAGAAAGGTTTTGGGGGCCAGATCATGGAGGGCTATCCTATGACAAGACCCCGACAAGGGGAGCTGTTACACTTCAAACTGGGGGATCCCAGCTGGAATGGGCTGCAGTGGGTGGGTTTGGTTGGCCCCCATGATCTTTGTCCCCTGGTGTTACACCTTTGAATATGTTACATTAAATGGCAAAAGGAATGAAACTCCTATAACACTGTATGTTAACTACACTGGAATTAAAACTTAAAATATAAATGGCAAAGGGTAATTAAGGTAGCAGGTGGAACTAAGGTTGCCCATCAGCTGACAAAAGAGGGAGTGTGTCCTGGAGTGTCATCACATGGCGGGTGGGGGCTATGTCATCTGTCATCAGATAGGCCCTTAAAAGTGGAAGAAGAAGGCAGAAGAGTCAGTGAGAGATTCAGCCAAAGACAGAAGCAGAGGGGAGATTCAAAACATGAACAGTTCACGTGCCATTGCTGGCTTGGAAGACAGGAAGGTGTCCACAAGCCAAAGAGTAGAGGGGGTTTCTAGGTACTAGGAACAGCCCTCAAGTGACAGATCGCAAGAAACAGAGACCTTGGTCCTACAACTGCAAGGAACTGAATTCTGCCACCAACCTGAATGAGCAAGGAAACCGATTCACCCCAAGAGCCTCCAGGAACTGAGCCCTGCTGACACCTTGACTCTGACCTGGTGAGACCCACGGCAGATGTTTGAGCCGTAGAGCTGTAGGATAACACATCTGCATTGGGTTAAGTGGCTCGTTTGTGGCAATTCGCTATGGCAGCCACAGGAAACTAACACAGTGGATGAAGACGTGCGGTGTGTGGAGACAAGGAGATCCAGGAGAGAGACCGGGTCGGTAGAAGAAGGCGGACCCGAACTGCCTTCTGGGGGAGCAGCCCACGGAGAGCCACCAGCATGGGGCCCACAGCTTCCTAGACATCTCCCTACCAAACCCGCTTAGCACCGTCCCCCAGGCCCGTTGTTGCCCAAGTCAGGAGCAAACCTGCTTAGAATGTCCCCAGGGCCCAGCCTCTAGGTCCTCAGGTCAGGCTAAGGAGCAAACCCCTTGGAGGTGCCTCCCATTCTGAGAAATGATGCAACACCTCCCCTCGGCCCCCTCTCCCATAGGGCTGCTAAGAACGGTGCTGGTGGAACGAGCCAGCCAGCCAGACCCACTACTGGGGTCACGGCGGGACCTGCTAGTCACGGCTCCCCTGAGGCTGGGCGGGATCTGACAGCTCCCCGGAGCGGGTCCCTACACACACGCAGGCACCCCAGGTTTTGTCTGCTCTTTGCCACCCAAGAACCCCTAGCAAAAAAAAAAACCCAGCCTGCTGATGGCCAAAACCTATTGAGGACTAACTCCTATCAGGCACTATACTAGACTAAGTGTTCTACTCACATGGTCTCATTTCATCTTTTCTGTACTCCTATCAGGTGCGGACGATTGACTCAGAGAGGTTAGGAAATGTGCCTAAACGTCACACAGCTGGTGAGTAGTAAATCCAGAATTGGACCCCCAGGATTATCTGAATCCAAAGCCCAGGCTGGACCCTCACTATTCAAAGTGGGGTCCATGGACCGGCAGCCTCAGCACCACCAGAGACCACATTAGAGCTGCTCTCCCCTGCCCTACAGAATCAGCAGCTGCCTGTAGGCAAGTTCCCAGGTGATGCCCATGCCCGAGGCAGTTTGAGAAGCATGGATGTAAAGCAGGTTTCCCAGGCTGGCTGCTCCTGGGTTGTTGTAACTGCCTCACCCTCAACCGCGTAAGGCCTGTCCCCAGCTGCCTGGTTCTGGCTCCCGAGGCGGGACAGGCCCTCTGCCCAGGCTTGGGGAAGAAGCCTGGACCTGGGTCTCAGGGGGAGTCTCCAGGCCCCTGCAGCCAGCCCAGGCCACAGCCGGACAACATCAACCCTTGTCTCGCTCTCCTTAGGGCATGCTGCTGTGGCTGCCTGAGACTCTCCTGGCCCCTCCCTTTTTACTTCCTTCTGGAACGCAAGGCTCTTGGCCTCCGTCTGGTGCTCTCCTGAAGGGGGTCTCTGGCATCACCAATCCTTGCAGTGTCTCCCCTCTCTAAATATTTTGGGCCCCCCTCTGGCTTCTAGAATGCCCCCTGCTTCATGTCACTCCCTCTCTCTGGACACCAAGGGCCAGTGCAAGTTGCCATCAGGAAAGAGGCCAACGGCTGCTTGAGGAACCTAGCCAAGCTCACAGGAAATGTCTGACACCACCAGGCAAGCGGGATTTGGCCTCTCAAAGCAAAACACAGCTGGGCCGACAGCGGGCCACTCGGACTTTCCCAGATTTCATGGCACCGAGGTCCCAGGGCAGAGACAGACCTGGCCGGCCTGGAGGCGACAGCCCATTCACGACATCACAGTAGCCCCTGGCGAGGGAGCCATTGAAGCTGGAAGACGCTATCCCTGCTGTGGGCCACCGACCTCCCTGTGGGCCCTCGCCCTTCACTGCCTCCTGCACACAGTGACACCTTTGCAGGGGGAGGGAAGGCTCCCGCAGCTCCTCCTCTCCCCAGCATCGGGTCGCATCCATTCATTTAGCTTACGTAAATTGAGCACCTACAGTGAGCCAAGCCTGTTGTTAGGTACCAAGGCCCGCACAAAAGAGCAGGACACAGTCCCTACTCTCCAGGAGCTCTTGCTGCGGGGAGCAGAGGAACAGACCACCAGGAGACAGAGTGTAGGATGCTCCGTCAGGAAGCGCAGAGCCCCCTCTTCCTGCACTCGGAGCAGCACAGGGGTTGTTGCCCTTGGTTCTGGGTACAGGGTGAGGGTTTGACAGTGGGTGGGCCTTTTCTTAGGTAACTCTTTAGTTTGGACCCAGTGAAGCAAATGGGGATTGAGCCTTTTTTCTAAGCTAAGACTATGGGAGGAGCTTTGGGGAGATCCAAAGAGAGAAAGAGTCTCTGCCTTCCAGGGCCCAGGCCACACAATCTGATTGCAGAGAGGGCGCAGATCCACAGGGTATGCGCTGCAGGGGGTCAGAGAGCTGGGTGGAAGTGATCAGGGGGGCTTTTTGGAGAAAGTGGTACTGGGAGGAGTGGGCTGAGCTGGGCAGATGGGGCAGGGGATATAAAACAGCTCTGACTCAAGGGTGCAAGGGAGAGAATGACCTGCCCAGCAACTATCCCCCATACTCACTTGTGTGCACACACGGGGGTTCCATGCATTATAAATGGAATGAATCCTACAAGCCAAAAGAGAGCTTGCAGGGGAATGCTTGCTCTGTCCTGCCCTTGGCTGACCCTGGAGCTGGTACCTCTGGCGGTCTTCCAGGTGCCTTCACACCAGGCCCACCCACCTTGGACCATTGGCTGGGACCAATCATCACAGGGCTCAGGCCCTGCCCACCTGCTCACAGCCAATCCCAGGCCATCCACCCTGGCCCCTGTGTTGTCTACTTGGCCTTCAGCTCTGCCCCTCTCTCTGCCCCAGCATTCCAAGGCCTTGGCCAAAGGGTTTGGTTCTTCTGGTTTTGATTTGGATCTCCCCAGACCTCAACCCGAGTGCATCCCTCTATTCTCTGTGCTTCTGGCTACGCTTGTAAACTAGCTGCTTGGGTGCTTGGGGCTCTGGGACCCCACCTTACTGAGACTCCCGTTGCCCCCTGCTTCAGAGCTGTAGGATAATCTCAAGCTCCTTTCTCTTCTCTCCTGAGCCTTCCCGCTGGGGCCCTGACCTTGAGGCCAGCCTCCTTTCCCTGGTTCTCCTGGCCTCCCAGACGACAAATTCTTTTTCCCCTTAGTTCAGCAAGACAAGGTTGCAACCTTTTAGAAAGAACATCTTAAGTAGGAAGTGAATGGAAAAACTCGCCTGAAAAAACAAAAGGAAAACACAGCCCCCTAGAAATGGACCAGTTTACAAAGTTCAGATTTCCTGTCCAGAGCTACAAAAAGTCTAGCCAGGTTGGCTGGCAAGCAGGCCAGGGAATCCTGCCCGTGAACGTTCTCCTTGCCCACATTTTATTCTACACCCTCCCCCCACATGCTCCTGCTATTTCCTTCAAGGACAGAAGTTATTGCTGGGCAGTGAGTGAACTGAAGGGCTTCTTTGGGCAGAGGGGGCCTTCCCGCATGGACCACAGGCAGAGGAGGAGGGGGAAGAAGAAAACATTTATAAAGAGTTTACTATGTACCAGCCACTGTTCTAAGCACTTTCTTTATATTAACTAACTTCATCCTTACAACAGTTCCACGCTTCTGATGATCATCGTTGTCCCCACCTCGCTGTGAGGAATCAGAGAGGTAAATAACTTGCCCAAGGCCACCCAGCCAGGAAGTGGCCACGACAGGATTCAAAACAAGAGGGTGAGAGGGTTTATGCCCTCTTCAGCTTCCTCCTAGGACCTGGAGGGTAGCGACTCCATCTCCCAGCTCCCCTGGCCACCCCAGCCTGGCAAAGCCTGTGCCAACCCCAACACTCACCTCCCTGCTCACTCACGGCCCCTGTGGTCAGGGCCGGGAGGGGGAGGAGAGCAGGGAGGAGGGAGGATAATTCTGGTCTTCTCCACCAAGGTCTTCACCAAATGGTCCCGAGGAAGAAGCCCCGCTGGAGAGGGACGGTGCCCCTGGATCCACTGTCCCACCGAGGAGGGGACTCACCTGGCCGGCGGCAGTTGTGATGCCAGTGACCGCGCCCTGGGGGTTGTGGTGCTTTCTCCGGCAGCGCTGCTCCTGCGAAGGTTAGGGGACCCCTCGGCTGCGCGTCGCGGTGCTGGCCTTGAGTTCTGGGGGTCGAATTCCTCCTCGGGAATGACCTCCTCACAGTGGGCTCCGCGGAAGCCAGAGCGGCACACGCAGAGCTGGGGCCGGCTGCAGGATCCCCGGTTCTGGCACGGCGGCTGGCACACAGCTGGGGAGAAAAGGGAGAGGGGTGAGGGCCGGCGGGGGTGGGGGGGTTGACACCTTCCTGTCAGGAGGGCCGCCTGCTGTGTGCCTTCCCCCCCGCCCCGCCCCAGGCCAGCAGGAAGCCCGACTCTGGCCTCAGGGAGCTCCCTGGGCCCATCGGCCGCCGCTCCACCTGTCGGTCCCCAGGGTGGGGTTACCCTGTCATCTCCGAACAGCCCATCAGCACTGAGTGACCAAAGGTGTCGAGCACTCCCAGCAGGACACCTGACTTTGTATTGTATGCTTGTGCTCACTTTTAGCTGTCAGCCCCTCCTCTCAGACTGAAAGTCCCAGGGGGCAGACGTTTTGTTTTCTTCCCTCCAGTCGCCCCAGAACTTGGAATAGAGACTGACACAGAGTAGATTTTCAATAAAGAATGGATGAATGAATGAATGAGTTTTTTTAATGGGAAAGGGCTCAACACTGGCCTGAGAGTCAGGGTGGTGGGGGGGCTGAGTGGTTGAGGTTTTCCTGTTTTCCGTGAGCTGTGTGATCTTGATCTCACTGAGCCCCGATTTTCTCACGAATCAATTGAGGGGCAGGCTGGGGAGGCTGGGGGACATCATAAGGGTTCTCAAGCTCCCACCTTCCTGAGCAAGTGCTGGAGCCCCTGACCAGGAGCAGGAAGGACTCTGTCTCCCAGGCCCTGGGATCAGCCTGGAGGCAGAGTGGGGCTGGAACTGGGACCCTTCCTCCAAGCTGGTGCTGTTCTGCAGCAATGGGTCGGCAGCGCCGTGACTTTTCACTGCCCTTCCTCACCTTGCAGAACCTGGAGCCCCCTCCAGTGACTAACAGCCATGGGAGAGAGAGTCCTGTGCAGAGAAACACACTGGGCGGCAGGGCCCTGACCCACTCCTTCCAGGACCTCCTCTGGGGGACACGGAGGAGCCCAGGAGAGCATGGTCAGGCTCATGTTGTACCCTCTAAATCCAAGGTCCCCTCCATCTGTCACTCATTCATTCAACAAATATTTGCTGAGCCCCTACTGTGTACTAGGCACTGGGCACGAAGTCCTTGCCCTCCTGGAGCTTGCAGTCCAGTGGGGGAGACCAATGGGAAATAAGAAAATAGCATCAAGGTACTTTGGGGCAGTATCTCAGGCTATGGAGACAAACAGGGTGATGCAGTGGCCCCCGCCTGACATTAGATGGGAAGGACAGGTTAGACAGGAAGGAGAGCCCCAGATAAAGCTCTGGGGCTGGACAGAACATGGCATGTTCGAGGAGGTGCCAGAGATCCAGGGAGGCTGGGGTCTGATGATAGCAGGGAGCACTCAAGGTCAGGGAAACAGAGGCGGGTGATGCAGACCCTCGTGGGCCTCAGTTATTCTAAGTGCATTTGTAAACTCCCAGGCATCCCTCCTTAGCCCCTGAGCCTGGGATCACTTGAGCTATACGCTCGTCTCTGACAGCAGGCCTGGAATCCAAACCATGGTCAGTCTGAAGAAATCTCTCCAATTCCACTTGGCCCACGCCACCTCCTTCTCGGAGATGCTCACTGGCTCCCGGGTGCCTCCAGGATTCAAGTCCGTAGACTAGCACTGAACACCTGTGTCTGATCCCCCTCTAACCATAAATCCCTCTAAGTCAACCTGCTGCAGCCAGACTGGCCAGTGGGTATGGCTCTCTCTTCTCTCTGCCTTTGTGTGCACTGTGTCCCTTCCCTGGAACTCTTTCCCATTCCTTTCCACTTACCTAAGTCCTACTGTTCCTTCAAGGCCTCCTGCCCATCCCTGACGACCGCCTCTAGCCAGTGCGCCCTCCTCAGAGCAATGAGGAACCGCGCTCACTGTGCACACCACACATCTGGTACGCCCCAAGGGCTGCAATCGGCGTGATGGGTTTTCCACATACGTGACTCAATTCCCCAGCTACTATGATCAGGCCCTGCAACTGCCCCTTATACCTCTTTGCATCCTTAGCTCCCAGGATATGTGTAGCAATGATGCAAGAACTCCTATTTTTATTGTGGCAGCTACTGTCTATGGAGCACTTATACTCTGCAGGTACTGCACTTTGCATGTACTATCTCATTTAACCCTAACAACAATCCTCTGCAGCGAGTGTGGTTATGAGTCTTATTTTATAAATAAGGCCTCAAGCTTAGAGAGCTTAAAAGCTTGCCTGAGGTCACCTAGCCATCAGTGGTGGATCTAGGATTCAAATCCGGGTCTGTTTGACTGCAAAGCCCAGGCTCTTTCCTCCCCACAGCCTCCCAGCAGGGCTGGTACGGTCCTTCCTCCCTACCATTTCTGAACCTTGACCCGGAGCCGATGATGATGAAGGGTTCTGTTGGCTTCCAGTCAGCCACCAAATGCACCTTTGGAGGTGGTGGAGACTTCAGGACCCCATCCCTCTCCAAAGCCCACACCAGAAATCTTAGATGATGATGGACCATGTTTACCAGCTCATGCATTCATTCGGTGAACATTCTGCTCACTAGGTATGAGCTCAGCCTGTGGGAGAAAGGGCCCCTCTCATTTTTTTAAAGACTTTATTTATTTATTTTAGAGAGAGAGGGCATCAGTTGGGGGGAAGGGAAGAGGGGGGAGGAGATTCTCAAGCAGATTCCACACTAAGCACAGAGCCCAACTCAGGGCTAGATCTCACAATCCTGAGATCATGACCTGAGCCTGAAATCAAGAGTCGGCCGCCAAACTGACTGAGTCATCCAGGTGCCCCGAGAGGACCTCTCAAGAAGTGTACTGTGTCAGGGTGCCTCAGTTGATTAAGGGCCTACCTTCTGCTCAGGTCATGGTCCCAGGGTCCTGGGTACAAGCCTGGAGTTGGGCTCCCTGCTCAGTAGGGGGTCTGATTCTCCCTCTGCCCCTCACCCTACTCATGCTCTCTCAAATAAATAAAATCTTAAAAAAAAAAATGCACTGTCTCACATGGAAGAAGGGAAAGTCAGGGAAGGCTTCCTAGAGGAAGTGATGCTGATCAGAGACACAAAGGATGAGTTGATTGGGCATCATGTCAATCAAGGGCAATCTGCTCACTCAGGGGAGAGTGGGGGAAATAACAGGTCTCACTTCAGGATTCCAGACATGAGCTGGATCCTGATGCCAGAGCATTTTCCTCAGTGCCTTGGCATGACTTCCTGGCAAGCCCCAGGTCTCCAGATAAACAGACCATGTCAGAGAATTGTAAACTTGAGTGCTTCCCCAAAAACAAAATGCCACAATGGCAGGATTTGGGCCTATGGCCTGGCTGCCACTCCATCTGCCCAAGCAGACTTGGCCCCCACCTGACCACCCACCAGGCCCCATCACCACCACCACCAGAGACCAGCCTGGCAGCCAAACCAAGGCTGGTGAACACTGGGGAAGCAGGTTTACCCAGGGCAGGTCTTGGCCCTGCTTTAGTATTGGGAGGAAGCAAAAAGGGAAGGCCTGAGTGGTTTCCCATGAACACTGCATGACTGCAAGTCTCTCGGACCAGGGTTGGCAAACTTCGGTGGGTGCAATGAACAGCTCGTACAAAATGGGTGGTTGGGGGAAATCATAAAAATAGCTTTTATATACTTATGTAACACCATGGTAAATAAAAGTTCTAAAAGGCTTCCAAACCAGCCCAATTTGTTGATGGAAAAAACCTGCTTGGGAAGATAACCTTTCTGGATCAACCATTTTTGAAATTGCCCAGAGGTCAGATTTGCCAAGGAAGATCCTCCAACAAGTGTCAGGTTTTCTGAGGTGTTGAGCCAGCTCTCGCCCATTCCATCTGCATCCTCTCTCAAGTTGTACATGTTTTAGCAAGATGCAGGGAACCACCGGACATCCTCACTAAAAGTGGTCACGCTTTTGTTCTGAGCCGAGCATCTGCATCATGAGTCTGGCACATAAACTCTTCTCTTCTCTCTCTCTACTACCCTGAAAATCACCCCCAAATGGCTCAAAGTGGTGGTTCCTAGGGCCCATCTGTCAAAGGGTACATTCTTATGACAGTTTTTACTGGTCTGAGTTTTTGTGTAATGCTATTTTTCCCATTTAAAAAGCATCCTTTATTTTGAGATTGTGTCTTTTCTATTTTTTTTTTTTCATTAAAAGTGATGGCAAATGGTAATTTGGATTTCTAACATCCTCACTTGGCAAAATGAAAAGCTGCCAACTGTAGTTTGGTACCTGTGGTGTCTGGGGATATTTTATGGGTGCATGTAATCCAAAAGTTTGGGACACTTTGGCCATAGTGGTCATGTGGCCTCTTGTTGAAAGGAGACTGAAGCAAAACATTCCTGTCAAATGAGCACAGATTTCAGAGCTGAAGTATCAAAAAGGAAACCACCCATGTCAGAATGGCCGATGGCAGGGGCTGTTGCATAAAGCAAAAAAAAGGAAATGCCGAAGGCCCGGGGAGGGGCAGTTCCATGCAGTACTATGAGAATTCTAAGAGAGAAAACTCCCAGGCATGGCCGGCAGGGAAGTCTTCATGTTTTGTTCTTGGAGCCCCATCTTTCCCATTTTCCCACGAGAGCAGAGATCATGCCTTATACTTGAGAAATCAACCCAGGATGGGGTATATGGCTTTAGTGTGTATTCATTGATTAATTATTGGTAAAGGTTGTGGAGCAGGATGCCCTGATGTCCATGTTTAGCCATCGAGGGCACATCCTTCCCCGCCGCCCACCCGGCCACTCCCCCGCCAACCAGAGGCCACCATCCTCAGACAACCAGCAAGCGAGGCTCTATCAGCCTCCCTGTGCTCACAAGCCAATGCCAGCTCTTAGCCATTCATAATTTGGGCTCCTCCTGAACCCTGGCTTTTCCACACTCTCCTGGCACTCTCCTCCTCACTGAGGATTGGACATGTGGAAAGTTTCAGCCTTGGGAGTTCAGCTCTGTGCAGTTAGCAGGATGCCAAAAGAGAGGGGAAGAAAAAGAAAACTCCCGAAATTGCTTTGAAAGTAAGAAATAGAAGGTATCGTTCCTCCAACCCCCTACCTTCTGGCTGTGCCCCTTCTACCTTC